TGTGTGTGTGTGTGTGTGTGTGTGTGTGTGTGTGTGTGTGTGTGTGTTTTGGCAGGCGTCAAGGTTAATGACAGAGCTCTCACCAGCCCTGACTGTGGCCCACAGAGTGAAAGTGAAACCCCACACACAACACAGAGAATGGCACAGCATCAGACTTGATCCCATCCGTCTTCCAGCCCATACTCCATCTTATCGGAGCTTCACTCGGTCTTTATGTCCACTCTCCATCTTCAAACACTCGCTCCATCACCCCCAGGGCCAACGATAGCACGTACACGCACAAAATCAAAAGCCTTGGGTTTATGATGGATACTGTCTATCTAGCTCATAGTCCGAGACCCTGTGTGTGTGGACGTGGACGTGTGAGTGTGTGGTTGAAATTGACTATGTTTGTGTTGTTTATGCTTCAAGAAAAAAAGAAAAATGTGAGATGTTGATTCCATTTTGCTTCTAGTATTCATTTCTCTTGTCTGTTCGTCCTCCAGCTTAGACACCTGGGTAATGACGAGGTCCACATTGTTTGGTCGGAACATTCCAGAGACTACCGGCGAGGGATCATCCCCACGGAGTTTGGAGACGTGCTGATCATCATCTACCCGATGAAGAACCACATGTACTCCATTCACATACTCAAAAAACCAGAGGTAAAAATAACAGCGTTCAGAATTTGGATACTGGACTCAAATGGCCAGCTGTCAATACTTTGTGCAATTATCTGTGTTTCAGTGTTCCCCAGAATCCTTTTGTTATTGGGTGAAAATGCCTCTGAAACAGCAAGATTCCTTTATTAAAACCCAGGATGAGAAATCAGTCTCCCTCTGGGCTAATCAGTAACAACTACACATATCAGCTGTGGAGATGTGTAATTGTTGTGTTACCTCTTGGCCAATCGGTGTCATTTTTGCCATCATAGTGGCACGGCTCTATGGATGGCACGACTGGAACTGTGAGATGGCTTTTGGTGAAACTTGGTACAAACATTCATGGTCTCCAGAGGTTAAGCCCTATGGATTTCTATGGAATTTGGTACACACATTCACCTCCCCTTTAGAATTTGGTGATTCTTTAAAGTTACCATCTCGACGGTCTCTGTTTCGTTCTCTTTGGCGGCACCTATGGCGATGAGCGGTAATTGCAGGTGTGGTTTTGGATCTCACTCTAAAGAGATCCAGACGGTCTCGCTTTTTCCCGGAATGTCTCCACAGACATCCAGGTAATAATACTGCAAATGCCCAATCCCCATTGTGTTACCTCATTCAGCGATAATGACTTAATAGGAATGTCAGTTTTGGTTAATTTTGCTTTCGATTGCGCAACACCCATTTACCGGTAACTAACAGGTTAATTCTTAAGATAAGAAAAATACATAATGACATGAAATACAAGAAGCACATTCCTTATACTCTGGCGCACTATTGTGCTCATTCTGAAGAGCTATATCCATCCAATTTCAATGTTTTGTGTTGTAAATTATATTTGTTCGATAAAGTTTGATTGATTGTTTCTATAAAGGCCGATCAGTGGAGCCGATAACACATAGATCCTGAATCAAAATGTTTACAATACAAATTTTTATGCTCTATTGCCTGTCCTTCAATTCCCTGGGGCCGCAGTGCGTCCTGTGTGAACGGCTCAATTGGTCAATTAAGATATAGACAGACGTGCATAACCGGTCAAAATGTTGTCAGTGGTTAATGTTTTACAGCCCTAGACTTGACAGACATTTATCAAAATGAACATCTTTGATGATACACTTACATTTTTCATTAAGGTCACAATTTGAATTTGTCCAATACTGAAGCGTGTGCTAACATACCTGCAAAACTAATGACATGTCCATCAGCCTCAGCTGTTATAATTGCTAAACATCAGCATGTTAGCATGCTAACATTAGCATTTAGCTCAGGGCACAGCCTCACAGAGCTGCCAGCGTGGCTGTAGACTCTTAAGTGCACGATGGTCAAAAGCCAGTTATTGGGGCCCACTATGTGTAATAAACAGAAGGAACAGCGACAGAGACCAATCAAGTCATCCAAATTAAAAGTTTACAGTCACAGCGCATCATGTCACACTTTAACACAGATTATCGTGGATATTATATCGATGTTTGAGCCGTTATATTTTATGGGTATGGAGTTGGGTAGGAATAAAATAGTGAATGTGCACAGTGTTTTGGTACATAATTGTATGTTTCCTACCAGACAACCCAGATATGCCTCCAGATTGACTAACAATCCTTGAGAGAGTCTTGACCTGAGTCTTGCTGCTCTGGTTAATGTATCAGTCTAAAACACACAGACATTAATACCACAGCACTGATAGCCTAATCCTATTTCAAACAAGACTTAACGCAATAAAATGCTGCTTTTTTTTCCCTTCTGTATGACATAGATACCGCAGCACTAATAATATAACCTCATTCTGCTTCATTCATTCTACAAAGCAAAAAATATTGAATTATCTTGAATCCAAAAACAAGTTAGACGAGATATTCTCTGTGTCGTCGTCCTGAAAGCACTGTATCCCGTCACAGAGTGCACGGCTCGGGGACCTGCTCCACAAGTAAATTCAATAAGAAGTCTGGCATTATTCTCTTTGGTGGATTCCACAAGCAAAGTATGGAATTAAATTTGACTTACCCAAACCCCAGTGGCTCCAAGAGATTATTCTGTTTCATAAATATATCTGGAATCGTACGTCTTTGAGAGGCTTCCATGGACAGTGGATTCATTATTAACTATAAAATGTATTTCTGCTTTAATGCCTGTTTTCACTCCCTGTCTCGGGGTCTGCAGGTGCCATTCTTCGGCCCACTGTTTGACGGTGCCATAGTGGACATGAACATTTTGCCCACCATGGTCAGAGCCACAGCCATCAATGCCAGTCGAGCCCTCAAATCCCTCATTCCCCTCTACCAGAACTTGTATCCTTTTCAAAGCCCTGCTTAGACTCTGCAAAAACAGGACCAGAAGCCAAAGGTAGGTCACTCGTTTTCTGTTCATTGCCTTCGCTTCCATCTCCGTGCCAACGCCTCACGGTCGGCTCTTTAAAAGTGAGTTGTTGGCAGCAGACTCAGCTGAGCTTCTCAAAACTAGTTTGAATGTAACTTCGCCATTGTGCTGGCCGCTGAAATCCTTGCACATCTGCGCGTGAGCGAGAATGTCGCTGCTCGCTCAGCTCGAGTGTTAAGAATAGCAAATCGATGTCCAGCGGTGTTTGGCTTTCAGGGTATAAGTGCTACTGTGATAGAGCTGTGTTTAGTTGGCTCTGAAGTGCCATATATCAAGTGTGTGTGCAGGAGAGAAAGAGGAACAGACAGACAGACAGACAGGCAGGGGTGCGCAAGTGTGTGTGTGTGTGTGTGTGTGTGCGTGCCGTCCGCCCGCTTGATCCGATGCGATGGTAGTTGTGGTTGGAACAAGCCCCGGCGGTCGATACTTATCGATGACTCTTCTCTCTAACGCTGCTTCTAAATGAGGGGGGCTTTGCTCTCTGGTCTCGAACGCAGACACGCACACGCACACACACACACACACAGACACAGACACACACACACACACACGTGTCCACGCTTACACACACACTCTTCTGTCTCACAAACACGGACAGTCGATTACACTCGCACGGACGCGAGCTCCTCGGAGGCACAGCACTGCAAGTCCATCCACATACAGACATGCAGATGCATGCAGTGTCGGTTAAGAACACACACACCATTGTGAGGTGACACTGTCCCCTGTTGAGGCGAGCTGAGCTACCGACTGATCATTGGAATTTCTTCTAAGCAGCACTTGAATCAATTTGATTCCCTAATGATACTTTCTTCCTGTCTGCCTGTTCTTTTCTTCTTTCCCCATCGTTTCTGCTCCTCATTTTCAAATACAATCATGTGCACGTGTACAGTATAAACATAACAGGGACCCAGTCATAAAAAAACACATTTGAGAAAGGAGTGAGCAGGGAAAAGAGGAGACAGATGGTAAATAAAGAGCAGAAACTTTTATTGCATTTTAAGTCTGGATTGAACTGGTCTTGAAAATACAATACAAAAAAGTGCTAGCAGCTCGTGCTAGCAGCTCGTGCTAGCAGCTCATACTAGCAGCTCGTGCTAGCAGCTCTTACTAGCAGCTCGTGCTACCCGACAGCCGGAGTGACAGCTGCTTACAAAGATTGATAGCTGCCAGTGACATGCCGATACCATAACAGTCTGAGGAGCATCTTTTATGCGTGGCATCCGGAAGGGCAAGGCTTTTTGAAAGAGAGCGGTGAGGTGGTGAGGCCTCTCCAGTCAAGGTAGCCATGCAGTGACGGCTATAATAGCCCAGGCTAACTTTAAGAGACACACTGTGGATGAACAGGAAAGAACTTGCTGGCCTACAAGCCATAATAAAGCCACAAAAACGCTTCCCTCAGCACAAAGACGCACTCAAAAGAGGATGTGCAAATGCAAAGATAGAAATGTCTGGTCCACTAATTTGTTTTTATTATGACCCCACTATATCAAACTTTATCCACTCCAATCTAAAGTTCTGAACAGTGCCGCGTTTTGCTTACCCGTGTCTTTTACCCTTGACTCTCTCTTTTTTCTGTCATTACTTCCTTTGTACCTGGTCTTAATTTGCCTTTTTGTGTCCTGCCTCCTCCCTCTTCTCTCTCTTTGTCCCTAATTACTTTGCCTTCCATCCATTTCTCCCGTCCCTCCTTCGCTGTGTCTCTTTTTACTCGCCTCTCGTCCTTCGTCTCTACGTTCTCTTTCTCCCGCCTTTGTCCAACTTTCTCCCCGCTCTAACTTTCTCTCAACCCTCCCTCCCCTTTCTCCTGCCCTTCTTCTCCCTCCCCCTCTCCTCAGAGAGGTAATGTAAGTGGTGGAGGTGACGCTAGGTGGAAGGGGCGCGGAGAGATATGGGGGGACGGGGATGGGGGTGTTGAAGAAGCCATTTTGCTCTGCCCCGTCCGCCCAGCGAGACGGAGAGATAGTTAGGCTCAGTGTGGGGCTGTGGCTCGTAGCTAACACCCCCAGACCCCTGTGTGTGTGTGTGTGTGTGTGTGTGTGTGTGTGTGTGTGTGTGTGTGCGCTTTTTCACATGTTAGACTGTCTCAGTTTTTGTGTGCTTTTTGTGAGACCCCAGCGATTTGGGGTGAGCCATCTATACAACCGTGTGCATTTCCTACATTTTTTTGTCTGAGGCTACGTGTGCATCCATATACCTACCGCGTGTGTATATCTCTTTGTATGTGTGTATCACGCACACGTGCCTGATGACACATGTGTCGCACGCCTGTTCCGAGGCGTCTGTGTCCTGGTGCGTATTGATTGGTAGTAGCAGCAGGTCGATGTCCCTGACAGGCTGAATTACAGTAATCAGTCATTATTGACTCCCCATCTCTCCGCTACACACACGTCTCTCGCTCTCTTCTGTCTCTCTTGTCCCGCATCTCTGCCTAAACATCCCTCTACATCTTGTTGTGCTGTAATTTTTTTTTCTGCCGCTGTCTTGTATCACTCTGTCCCCCCTGCCGGGATTTTCTCTGTCTCGCTCTCTAATTCTGTCCCTGCGTTTCCTCTCTTGCCTCTCTTAAGTCCCTTATCTCAGTGCATCTCTGTTTCTCCTTCTATCTCTGTCACGTCGCCTGTTTTTCCTCTTTCTCAGATTTCTTGACTTCACCCATGGTCATCCTCTTGACTGCTAAATCTCATCGTCCCGAAACTACGAGAAACTCTGACATCTTGACGTAATCGCAATCCTTAACAATTTTGGTTCAACTCGACGGATGTCGAGGACGACGCGTCTTTTATCTCGGTCTCCTCGGAGACCAAAACCACGTGAAAGGTTTCCCAAAAGAAACACGTTTGAATACAAGTACGGGGAGGCCTTGTTGGTAAATTGATACATGGGACGTGTTGTGAGAATGCACAAACTCTAAATTCAGAGTGCTTTGTTAGTCTAGTGCCAAATCCACTGAATTTAAACGACAATAAAGTGACACAGGCACGGGGGAGCAGCCTGATGGAGATATGCGGACGTACCGCACACGAGGGTTTGATGCCCTTGTGTGCCCCTCAAGTTCTGCATCAAGCAGCGTTTGTGTGATTGTGAGTGCTGCACTGTGACATCGAGTCTCCTCACAGAGGGGCTGACGCACAGAGGCGAGTGTGGGGGGGGGGAAGAAGGCTGGCAGGGCTAAGTGTGTCAGTGGTTAACTGTCTTTTTTCTGTCTATCTCTGTCTGTCTTCCCACCTCCCTCTCTCTGTCTCATGGCCCTCGGGGCGGTCCATCTGCCTTCTCTCTCTCCCTCTCTCTCTCTGATCTTTCATTCACCATGACCACAGCCATCCAGCAGCACACACACACACACACACACACACACACACACACACACACACGCACACACACTCGACACAGAGTGCCAGGCTGCTAGGGCAGCTGTGTGTAGGCACAGCTCTATCTCACATATCAGCTCATTGCAGCAAGAAAAGCAGTCCAAGACTCCCCGACAAACACAAACACACACACACACATACATACAGTCCTTCTCCATATAGGGCCTCACCATGTAGTTAAACACAATACACACCAGGTTTTAAAAGTGCTCGACCCTCTGATGAGCAGCGGTAAATCTTTGTTCCTCCTGTCGGCCCACCACAGTGGAATCTGAACTCCTGAGGAGAAGAGATGAACGTCAGGAGCAGACTGCTGAGCGGCGTAATGGTGTCACCACTCCTTAAAAGGATGGTTCTGTTTAGTTTTTTTTGAAGTGGGGTTGTTTGGGGTACTTATCCGTACACTGTGTATTACCTCCAGTGGATGGCTAACGGCACGCCCTCCACAGTTTGGAGAAGCAGACGGGACTGCTGGCACAGAAGTAATGCGATGTACTGCTGTGGAAATCATAAGTAAAGGAAGTATTGAGCCACGGCCTGAAGAATTTAGAATATAGAATCTTAAAGCACAGTTGAGAACATAATGGGCTATTTATAGGAAGTAAATGATAATTAATATCATTTATTTTTCTAAATTGGACCACAATAATTAGTTGATTGGAGTTGGTCCTTAATACTGCAGAGAATACGTTTTTATATTCATGTAAATAAAAATGAACTTACAAAGCTACTTTTCACCACCTTAAAGTTGAATCGTAATTTTCGTGAACACAAGCTCTGTGAGCAGAGCCTCCGTGGATCAGTCGACCACTACGGCCAAGATTCACCTGTAAATCTCCTACAGCTGCTCTACCATCTGATAACTGTGTGTGTGTGTGTGTGTGCGTGTGTGTGTAAGTGTGTGTAAGAGCAAGCTGTGGCTGTCCTCCATCTGCTCCTGGGTGATTGTGGTTCTGGGGAACAATGTTGGAGAGACTCTAAGCTGCTACACACAAACACACACGCTAGTTCCAGCAAGTAAGTGTGTGTGTGCTTGAATTTTCAAATGTATATCACTCCATTTACTCTTGTGTATTTCCCAGTGTTTATGTTGCATGTGTATATATTTCACTCTCAGGATTAGAGGTATTGTTTGTTTGTGTGTGTGTGGGACATCCCCTCTAGTAGTTGATTGGCAGAGATAGCTGCACTGAGGCTAGGGTCAGCATATGGCTCGGTGTGATAGTGATGCTGTGTGTGTGTCTTTTTTGCACGTTTGTGTCACTGCCTCTTTTTTTTTTTTTTTTTTTCATACTCCGTTCCCGGTGAAATGATGGCAGCTCTGGGCATGTAGCGCTATTATCCCCCATATCCACACTCACACTCACACACACACGCACTGAGCACAGCCAAACGCCCGCCGGCCTGCCTGGCTTCCCTTTGCCAGCTCCCACAATGGAGCCCATTGTCCCACTAAGGCTCCAATCTGCTGTGTGTGACGAGGAGTGTGCGTGTTCCTCACCGCGGCAGAAAAGGTGAGGTCAAAACCTTACAAACTGAAGACATTTTCTTATCGCTGATGCTGAAATGGGGTCATGTTATCCATAACCCCCCCCCAAGCGCCACATCACAGAAAGCTGCAGTGCCGCCTTTTTGACAGAACTGTGCAATTAACAAATACGTCGGATAATAATTACAGCTGCTGATGCAGGTGCATTGACATCTTGCTGATATTTCATGAAAATATATATATTTCTTTAAGACAAATTACATAAATGAAGAAAGAGAAATTGTCTGCACAATGCATCTTTTTGATGTGAGGGATAAAGCTTCTGCATACAGTATGGAGGAATATAAATGTATTTTTACTTGTCCGTTCTTGATTAAAAACAGAACGTTCCATGAGCAGCCATTATGGCAAATTGACAGCAAATCGAAACCACACGCCAAGCGGTATTTGATGCTTTAAAATACAATTAGGATTAGGTTAAGGGTCGGTGTATTATTGGGGGTAAGGAAATGAATGTGTGCAGAGGAGGGGAGAGATTGTGGTTAATTATTTCCTGTCGGGCAGATAGAGGAAATGAAAAGAAAAGGGTGAGGAGGAGGAGGTCACAGCTAATCGCTCCCACTTCTCCTTGGGGAGGTGTGTGTGTGTGTGTGTGTGTGTGGGTGTGGGTGCTTTGTTGTGTGTGTCCAAGAGATACTTTCCGCATCTCAGTTTGTTTCACAGGCACATATTAGCACTGTGATGTTTGTCACTTTGTAATCCGCATAATTTCATAACACACCGGTTAGTCGGATATTATGTGGATTTCACTCACTCTGTTATTTTTCAAGTAGATCAACGGGATCATTTTTAATCCTTGGGGGAATTAATTCCTAGAATTCTGCTAAACATTCACCTTCTCAGCTGACTTAGGGAAGTGAATTTAAGCCCTTAAGACTCATTAACAAGCTTAAGCGACTGCTGGCAGGAGTTTGTCTCACAGGAGCAAACGCTCAAACTCAGTGTAGCAGTAAACTCAACATCCATGTCTGTTTCAGGCACCACACACACACACACGCGCGAATAGTCTGAGGCCTAAATTATCAGAGAGAAAGAGGCAAATTGCTGGTTTGCGAGGAGTAATACTCTAGAAATTGGTGTGTGTGTGTGTGTGTGCGCACCTACGCTCCTAGTCACAGAGGGCTGTGCAGACACATGAGTTGTAGCCATCAGTGGCTTGACAACGCCTTGTTGGAGCAGACCCCCCTCTGACTGATAAACAAGCTAATCTGTAGTGTGTGTGTGTGCGTGTGTGAATGTAAGTATTTTTATGTGACGAGGTGTTTAAGATTCAGGGTGGGATGTCACGGCCGACCAAGACAATGACAGAGTAGACAGGAGAGCAAACTCTGTGCAATGAGCTCCAACAGCCGTCTTATAATATGGACGACGGTCTTTACAGACTAGCAGTAGCTATGTGAATACATAATTGATGATTGACCAATCACTTTCAAAAATTTGTTTTGGAGAGAAACAAGCTAAAAATAGCCAAGTGTGGCTGTATATTGCAGCAGGTGTTTTCAGCGTGAACTAAAAGTGTTGAAACCTTTATTCATATTACTGGGCATGACGAACTACAAAAATGACTATTAATCAATCATTTGAGAACATTTATTTATATATATGTATATGTATGTATGTATATGTATATGTATGTATGTATATGTATATGTATGTATATATATGTATGTGTATGTATGTGTATATATATGTATGTGTATGTATGTGTATATATATGTATGTGTATGTATGTGTATATATATGTATGTGTATGTATGTGTATATATATGTATGTGTATGTATGTGTATATATATATGTAT